CATCTGAACAAGTCTAAGGATTAATTCCTCCAAAAGTATATTTCAATTTGTTTAAAAGTTTCCTAGAACTACAGTACAGCCATCTGAAATATAAAACTAACACCCAAGAGCTCTTATCTCTTTAAAAAGAAAAAAAAGTTAGCAAGCTCTCTGCTTAATAGAGAACTCTAGTTGCTATTGAGATAAAACTATTCAAAAAGGAAAGATACTTTTCATTTGAAGCATGATACTACCTTAACTTAAGCTTTTAACACTCTCATGCGCTGTTTTCAGCTGCAGTAGAATTCAGAACTGCTACTAGCAAATACCAATTTTATATCCTTAAGCTAGATTAAATTGTGCATGTATTTGCATGCATGCACGCAAGTGCACATGCGGACATGCACAAGTCTTTGCTACCATTAAACTACAGCTCCAGAAAAGCTACGTCATGGGTAGCATTATTCATAAACATAAAGCGCTGTTAGATCTTTTGAATTGTTTCATCATTTTTAAATTATTTAAATATGTTTTTCTTTCTCTAAGTGATTTTTTGTTGAAGATTTATGTCATAAGAGTCCAATGGAAGAAGAAATCTGTAATTTTGCCCTGAAAAGGGAAATAAGGGCTGAGGAAGATGCCACAAGAGTTAGCTGGCAACAGAGCTTTAAAACAATTTCTGAAATGAAAATATAATTAATGAAGGAGGTTAAATATATGATCCCCTCACCTCTTATAACTCTCTAAATGAGGAAGGTTTCTTTCAAAATATTTGCAATATAGGAAAACAATTGGCTAAAAAATAAAAAAAAACATTTTATTACAGCCTGGGAAAAACAATAGAAAGCTCAAAAGCTCTTATGATTGTATGTAAGCAATTTAAGAAGGGAAAAAGAAATATATATGAAACATAATACATTTGATATTCAAAAGTTAATTAAGAAATGGGTCAGCCTGGGGTCCTTATAAATTTATATCAGATATAGTACGAATTTTGACTTTCAAGATGTCTAGCAGAAAAGGACATACAGGTTAAGTGGGGAATGAAACACCACAGAGCTACCAAAGAAGGAAGGCATTATTTCTTTTCCTAAAAACTGCAGCGATGATACTCGTGGGAAACAATGTTAAATATTTTTGTCTCAAACCATTAAAATGCTTATATAAATAGAATTGCTCCCTGATCTCTTACTTCCCTTATGTGTAGGGATTGTGTGCAAAAGGGGTTCATATAAAGCATGTCGTAATTATGTCCCTACTACTGGAAAGAAGAGAATGCAGTGGAATGACAGTAAAATCTTTTTTTAATCTGCCCAGAAATTGCTTTCACTTCTAATTCTGCACTGATCATCAGACTGAAATGCAAAATATCCTGCAGAGGCTTCAAAGGTTTGTATCTTACTTTTGCTCAACCACCATCTGACAAAAGGGAAACATGAAGTTCAAGATGTATACATTTGTGAGATACTGTGAGCACTGGAGATGTCTACAGATGTACAATTTAATGTAACAACCATGCAAATGTTTATTTCTTTTGTTTCATTCAGGGTGAGCCCAGCTTCTCTTTTTTATACCTGTTTCTGCAATGAACAATTACTTTCTTCCTTTTTGCTCTCCTACCATATTTCAAGTAGCTTATCCTCAATTTTAAATGTGTTTAAAACATTATTTGTGATAGGATTGTATATTTAAATAGGATTTATTTTTAAATACAATCCAATTGTTTACATTTTGAACCTTTTACACCTTTTTGCATTACAAAAATCTGTAGTGGTTTTGTGGGATTCAGCTTCTGAGCAAAACAGGCGATAGGCCAGAACCTGCAACATGTGCAATAACTTCAAATCTCTATTCTACTCATAGCTTGTATGATAACTTTCATAGTTTTTTTCATAGTTAGATAGTTAAACACTCTGGAATGGTCTGGTGGCTCTGTTAGCATTATCCTGGCATATGACTAGTGCAACAGCTGCACTAAAAGTTAATAATTGTTGCACCAAGCCAGGAAGGGTGTTTACTGCTCCAGGTGCTGAAGGGATTAAGTAGCAGGTGCAAACCAACTGAAGAGCAGCCAAAGCTTCTATTTCCGATAAAACACTTCAGGAACTAGCAAGCAAAGAACAACAGTGCAAAGCAAACTCTTCTTGCCTTATGTTGAGAGAAAAAAAAAAGCTAGCATAACTAGCCCATGTATTTGCCCGTGAAGAGTTGGAGGAGAGACCAAGCCCTGTTCCATTATGTCCTTTAGGGAACTGACAAGAACAGTCATAAATTGTTATTGATTAAACAAAAACATATAAAAGCACCATACCTTTGATTTGCCAAGCCAGTAACTTGTGGTTGCATACAAGTAGATAAAGAACCTGAAAGCACTCTCTCTGGAAATCCAACAAGACAGTCATTTAAAAAATACACTTTGGGTCAGTCCTGCCCTCCAAAATGAATACTCATGCAGGACATAACACTGAAAACACTAGGATCTTGCAGAAAATCCTATGAGAGACGCAGAAGGTAATTCTATTTAGCTCTAACTTGTAGACCCTTCATGAGAAATTCACAATGGTTTTTAAATTCCAGTTTAGCATTTCACAGTACTGTATACTGACTCTGCCTCCCTTGTTTCATTCCTTAGACAAGAAACTCCTTATTCAACTTTAAAAAGAACAAACTGGGAGTTAATTATAGAGAGAAATCAATGAGACATTTGTGACTAACACTTCCGCATTACATTAAAGAGTATATTTCCAAATAAACTATATACATAAACTAATTTGGTTGCTGGAAACAATTCCCGAGAGTTCATGTCAGAATGGACAATTATTAATCATCTTAACAATGTCTCTCATTATTAGGTCCTGAGAAGTGAAGAGGATGCTATTGCTATATTCTGACCTATGAGATTCTCAAAGACATCTGTGAAAAAACAAGATAGATCAAATGTTTCTCCAGGTCAGCTGGACTTTTTAAATTAAACGTGTGCACACACACACAATATTTATATGTAATAAATTAGATCCTGTAGGAAAGGCTCTCTCTAGCTTAGTCATTTCTCTAGCATAGCTGTTTTCTACCAGCAGGGATCACTTTTCTTTCCATATAAAAGCATTTCAGTGATGTTAGATCCAATTACAGTTTGAAGCATAAAAATTAAGAAGTAGGCTTCCCATTTCAGTTCCTTCACAAACTAAATAAGTACCATTGTGGGAAAACCTACACAGCATTTCTGCTACTCAGGCTATTTTTTCCCCCATGCCTAACTCCTCCCTGAAAGGATAGGGAATTGCTTCCCAATGCCAAAGCAAAGTGTACACATTTCAACAAAATATCCATTTCACAGAAATAAAACTAACCATACTCAGACAACAGACACAGGCAAAACAAAACCTACACAAAACACGATTGCTCTCTAAACTCTACAAATTATTTTAAAAACACAATATAGTGTACATCTAACAAAGCTGCCAATGACAAAAAGTAAGCAAAACCAATTCCATAAACTTTACACAGCCAAAACAACAATAATCACAAAACCCCAGAACTGTCCCTTTTGAGGATGGAAGTTATACATATTTCCTGGGGTGGAAAGGAGTGCATGGGGCTCTCAGATAAATGAGCAGTAGTAGAATTTCCTGGGTTTTGCAGAGGACTTTTTTGTTTGTTTTTAAAAAAATGTATTGTGTGTTACAGATCATATACTAGTTTTAATGAATATTTTGTCAGAAAAAGGTGAGAAACCATGCTAGCATGGTTTATCATTTGTACTGCCAACATTTGCAGCACAGATGGATGAAGATCTGAGGGCTATCAAAATAAGATCTGGGCACCACACTTGCCCTGGGGCTACAACTTGCTTAATTATGGAGCAAATTATAGAGCAAATTTCCTACAAACTAACAAAAAATCTTGTTCTTTAACTTTTGTTAAGAATATTATTAAATATCAACTGATTGATAGAAGAAATGGAGGGGAAATAAGAAATTGATCAAACAAGTCACTCTGCTGTCCCAGAAAATTGACTCTGGCTTGCTCAACAAATAATGGTTAATGAACTTAGTTGCATGGTATGTGTGAACACCACCCGTGTGCATTTCCTTTAGAGAATCTTAAAGTTAGCTCTGTTACCTCTTTGCAATCTTCTATTATTAATTAAACATTGTTAATTTTACTTAAATATCTACTCAAAACTAACTAGGCTCTCCAAAAGACTCTCATTTGTGTTATAGATTCCAAAGCCTTGCTTTATGATCTTTAAATATCAGAACAGATTAGTACATCACAGTATCCAAAATCTTAACATGAAAACAAAGGTTACTAGAATTCTGACAAATTCTACTGACAATACAAACAGTGTTTCAGAATGTATCAAGGCCAGCTCATGTTTAATATATATTTTTCTCTCTTTTAGCAAAAGGGCATCACATAAAAAAGTATCCTCTTATTTTGTCCAATGTGATTCTAACCTAGCCTTTGAGTTGCAGATGAATACTGAATATTTGTAGATTGTAAAACTGGTCCCTAACCTTTGCAGCTTGCTGGCCTGGCTTGGGGGGGGGGAGAGAACTGGGCCACGTGAACAGTGGGCCAGCATGCATGTGCATGAGTGCCCGCCAGCCCACCGCTCATGCAAGTTGAGTTGTGCGCACATGCGCGTGCTCCGGCCAGCCACCCGCGCGGCCCAATTCTGAATAGGTCATGGCCCGGTAGTGGTTTGGGGGTTGGGGATCCCTGTTGTAAAAAACGCATATTTTCACATAGTTCAAAAACAATTTAGACTTCTATGTGAATGATAATTTCTGGAGAGGCCTGATTCAAACAATACTCATCAAATTCAAGGCTTTCTATTACATTAATAAAAAGTGAGAACATGGTTTTAACAAAACTTAAATGTTTTATAGACGGCTTTGTTGCAAAGCTGATATAAGATAACAGGCTCTTGGGCACCTCTAGGATCTGAAACAAAGAGAGTTGGTGGAAATTTTTCAGAAAGAATGCAGCATCAGGAATTTTCATAAAAACAGAAGTGCTAACAGTGCTAATACAAATAAGATAAGCCATTAACTCATTTTATAGCTCAGTGACTACAATGAGAAAAGCATATAAAATTAATCACTCATATTTCTTGCTTGGTCATCAATAAAAGAAATAAGAGTGATTATTTAATATGCTTTATAATCCAATAACTCAGGGTTATCTTATCAATTAAAGTGTCTGAAAAGGGTTGGGTTGGAGGGGGCTTATTGTCCCCAAACATTCTCAAAGTAATACATAAAAACTTATAATTTAACATACATTTATTTAGAAATAAGTCCAACTGAATACAGCTAGGTTTCTTTCTAAATCTGTTAATATTCACAGGATCAGTTTGAAAGTTGTTGCTGATATTATTATCATTAACCTGTTTTTGCATATTATCTTAGTAATGATTCTTTACAGAAAAGCAAATGAAAGGCTCATTTTATGATAAGGCTCAAAATTTGGGCTCTAAAATTTAGTTACACTCAACTAATCTAAGCTAAGAGACCAAACCCACCCACCTAACTTCACTGCAGCCAAACCGTAAGAAATGCCTGGGGCCAAGATAATAGAGTAATTTTTACTCTATTTACTTTCAATACATGTGGAGAATCTCACTTTCTTTTTGGAATTGCAACTTGGATTAAAGGAATAATTCTGCTAAGGAGAGCCTGGCTAACAAAAGAAGTTTGGCATTATGGAAAACATAATAATTATGTGCTTACAGACGAAAAATGTGTACAATAAATGCGGATGAGGAATATAAACCCTGAACTAAGGCAGCAGGCAGTTCTAGAGCCAGTTAAAATAGTAGAAGATGTATTACAGCGGCTATTCATAATGGAATACATCTTCTTCAGTCTAACTCTTGTACTCATTCATATGCAGATACTCAAGAGTTCAGCCATGATGAAAAAGGAGAGAACCAGACATGCTCATTTCTGGCTGAACTGTTGTTGAGTAACCTCTCTTCTGCTGTAGTTATGCAGCAACATTGTCAGGACCAACTTTTACTCTACTCAATTCTCCCATTAGTCCTTGGGCAATAAACAGTAAGCTGTTGCTTGTGGGCGTCAGCTTTCTTTAATGGAGTAGGTTGTCAAATACAGCATCGGGTAAGATGGAGACTTTTAGTTTCTTTTCAGGCCAACTATATTCCTTTGGAAGCTTGAACTAAAAAACAAAGAAATCAGTTAGTGTTTATAGAAATTGCTAGAATCTAGGGTGAATAAAACTACAATTTGAGGGCCCGGGAAGAAAAACAAAATTTGAAGACATTGTTTTATAATTTCTCTGCAGAATTACATAAAAAAGTAATTGCTTCTGAATGATGCATAAAACAGTGATATGAAATAAACTAGTCTACCTATGGAAATAGACAATAAATGAAGAAATAGATTCATTAGTGAAAAAGAGGCTTGTTTCAATATAAAAAAAATCTCTGTTTTTAGAAGACCATGAAAATAACAAAATTAAGAACAGAGGAAGCGGAAGCTACTGATAGTAACACAACTGAATTTTTAGAAGCCAAAACTGCATAATGTTCCAAAGCTGCTTTTTCAAGAGGCAACTGGGCTTTCTTGTTTTTCTTTGAAGACTTTTCGCTTCTCATCCAAGAAGCTTCTTCAGCTCTGACTGGATGGTGAGGAATGGAAGGATTTATATTCCTTTCAGACAGCTGGTCATTTGCATTCTTTTAGAGAGTCGTTGAGGCCACTTGGAGACTATCTGTGTCCTCAGGTTCACCTGAGTAATGCAAATGGTTGTGGAGCCTTCTTGGAAGGACTGTGTTGTAAACAGAATATGGATGATGTTATATCCTTCCCCTCTGTTGAGAGAGGGCTGTTCAATTTTGACATAGATGGCCTCTTGTCTTGATGGATTTGTTCTCCTATGTTCTGCCATGCGTTTATGAAGTGGTTGCTTTGTTTCCCCAATGTACTGATCTGCACATGTCTCACAAATGCAGTGAGAAATATGCATGGCTCAACACAGGAGAACAAACCCATCAGGACAAGATTCAGCAGTCTATCTGCATTTAAAAGACAAAGGCCACTCTTTTGAAGACAACAAAATCCACATTTTGGACAGAGAGAACCGCTGTTTTGGAAGAGGGGTCAAAGAGGCCATCTATGTCAAAACTGAACAACCCTTTCTCAGCAGGGAGGGATACAATATTATCTATCTCCAGTCTACAACATAGTCCTTTCAGCAGTTCCAAGAAGGTTCCACACCCATTTGCACTACTCAGGTGACCCTAAGGACACAGATAAACCTCCAAGTGGCCTCAATGACTTTCTAAAGCAATGCAAATGACCAGCTGTCTGCAAGAAATATAAATCCTTCTATTTCCCACCAGCCAGTCAGAATTGAAGAAGCTTCGTGGATGAGAAGCAAAACGTCTTCAAAGAAAACAAAATTCAGTTGCCTCTTGAAAAAGCATCTTTGGGACAACCATGACCTGGATGACTGAGAATCTCCATAGACAAAACTGCATAAACAATATTTCATGTGAGAAAATAT